AGTAGTGGGCAATTTGAGTTTAATTACATGTGTCCTAGGGGGAGGCATAATATTTGTTAGATTCACTAGCAATAAAGGTTGAAGGCCTAGTTAGATCCAAGTGGCACCCCATCTGCTACACATGGTTTAATGAGTGCCTTGCCCTGAACATATCCCATGCTGAGTAGAAAACTTTCAGGGAAACCCAAGGATGAAATTTTAAGTTGCCACTGCCTTTTTTCATTTGGTCTGAAAATCATTTCCCATAATCAATTCCATACTTAATTCCATCAGAAGTGCTGAGGGCAAAAAAAGATAGCCTGAGGCTATGGTTGAGTGTGTGGCCCACATTCTAGCCTCTACTTTCATGAGACTCATCTCTAGTCTCAGGGTGGCATTAGAGACACATTTTGGAACTTGAAGGGTCAATCTTAAGAGAGTTGGAATGAATAAATTCTAACAGTGCAAAATTAAAGAAAGGTTCTAGCTAAATATCATAATAAAGTTGTGCTACTGATTGGAATAATTTGAATGCTTTAGATATTAGTCACCATCTCTTGTCCCGAGGAATTTTAGAATGGCAGATGAGCTTCTCTGTATATTTTCAGTAATGTAGTCCCCATGGGTTTCTTGCTGTTGGCAGTACACTCCCAGGTATTTGAAATAGGAGACTTGCTCAGTCTTGTAGCCATCTATGCTCTATGAGTGGCTTTTGGGTTTTGGCATATGCCATGATTTTACTTTTATGATAATTGAACTCTAGCTAGTCTTTCTTCCTTGAAATACCGTGTTAGAGTTCTCAGTGTTCTTTTAAGACTTGGAAGTATTCTTGAAATTATTGCTGCATTGTCCATCTACACTACAACAAAGATGTGTCTTCTAGCCACTTTTAGGGAGTGAAAGTTTGTGTTAAGCTACCAGAGAATTGATATAGAAGTTGAATAGGACAGGGGCTAATAGGCAACCTTGCTTGACACCTTTCTTAGTTTCAATCACAGTGGTAAGATGGCCCTGGGAGTTTCATCTTATTTTGACTAAGGTTCCTTCATAAAGCCCACATATTAGATGAAGTAAACATCAATAAATCGAGATATCCTGTTTTTCCCATAGTTTAAGTTGGTATATACAAGTGAAACTCAAAAAATTAGAATATCATGCAAAAGTTCATTTATTTCAGTAATGCAACTTAAAAGGTGAAACTAATATATGAGATAAGACTCATTACATGCAAAGCAAGATAATTCAAGCCGTGATTTGTCATAATTGTGATGATTATGGCGTACAGCTCATGAAAACCCCAAATCCTCCATCTCAGAAAATTAGAATATTACATGCAATCAATAAAACAAGGATTGTACGGGGCGGGAACAATATCGGACCTCTGAAAAGTATTAGCATGCATATGTACTTGGCTTGGGCCCCTTTTGCAGCAATTACTGCCGCAATGCAGCATGGCATGGAAGATATCAGCCTGTGGCACTGCTGAGGTGTTATGGAAGACAAGGATGCTTCAATAGTGGCCTTCAGCTCTTCTGCATTGTTCGGTCTCATGTCTCTCATCTTTCTCTTGGCAATGCCCCATAGATTGTCTATGAGGTTCAGGTCAGATGAGTTTGCTGGCCAATCAAGCACAGTAATCCCACAGTCATTGAACCAGGTTTTGGTGCTTTTGGTAGTGTGGGCAGGTGCCAAGTCCTGCTGGAAAATGAAGTCAGCATCCCCATAAAGCTTGTCTGCGGAAGGAAGCATGAAGTGCTCCAAAATCTCCTGGTAGACGGCTGCGTTGACCCTGGTCTTAATGAAACACAATAGTCCAAAGTCTTGTTGCTCAGTGGTCCAAAGTCTTCTTTTCTGATGAGAGCAACTTTTGCCAAAAGCACCAAAAACTGGTTCAATGACTGTGGGATTACTGTGCTTGATTAGCCTCTCCATTCTTCCTCCACACTCTGGGTCCTTGGTTTCCAAATGAGATGCAAAAGTTGCATTCAATGACTATGGGATTATTGTGCTTGATTGGCCAGCAAACTCGTCTGATTTGAACCCCATAGAGAATCTATGGGGCATTGGCAAGAGAAAGATGAGAGACATGAGACCGAACAATGCAGAAGAGCTGAAGGCCACTATTGAAGCATCCTGGTCTTCCATAACACCTCAGCAGTGCCACAGGTTGATAGTTTCCATGCCACACCGCATTGAGGCAGTAATTGCTGCAAAAGGGGCCCAAACCAAGTACTGAGTACATATGCATGCTTATACTTTTCAGAGGTCCAATATTGTTCTGTTGTGGCCCAGCAGGAGCCGTTAGAGCTGCCGCTGGACTCCGATAGCAAGGAACCCTATGAGTCTGCTATGGAAGATGTGGAGGACCCTGAGCAGGGTTCAGACTCAGAGCAGGGACCAGAGAGACTGGTTGGCCACCAGGAGGCACCTGAGGCATGGAGCAGTGGGGAAGATCAAAGGGAGTTTGTCCCTGACACCAGGCAACGGAGGGCGGAGAAATGGAGGCAGCAGTTATGGAGACAGACTCATAAGAGATAATCCAGCCCAGGTGGTTGTGGCTTGGCCCTTTCCAAGAGAGTATATAAGAAGAGACTTTGGGAGGAGTTCTTTTGCAGGACACAACCATTCATAATAATCTGGAGAACTCCTTGTCTGGTCTGCCTTGTGTTCCCGTGTCTGTTGGAATCTGGGTTGCTGCCAACTTCTTGCCAGTGAGTCGTGTCTGGGCTTTCAGCCAACAGGATTATAATTGCTGTGAATAAAGAGTGGCAAACAGCTAAGCCTGGGTCTGTGTTCATTACCGGATGGAGGGGGGGCAGGACTTTGTTCTATGTACAATCCTTGTTTTATTGATTGCATGTAATATTCTAATTTTCTGAGATGGTAGATTTGGGGTTTTCATGAGCTGTACACCATAATCATCACAATTATGACAAATCACGGCTTGAATTATCTTGCTTTGCATGTAACGAGTCTTTTCGTTTATATTAGTTTCACCTTTTAAGTTGCATTACTGAAATAAATGAACTTTTGCACAATATTCTAATTTTTCGAGTTTCACCTGTAGAAACAAAAGCTGCTTTGAAGTATGTGAAGGTAGCATAAATGAAGTTTGTGTTCAGGAGGATTATTTTTTGATGAGATGCGGAGAATTAAGCATTGATAAATGGTGGAACTGCCTTTTATAAAATCAGCTTGCTCCTCTGCAAGTATGTTTTCTTGTTCCAGACAAGGGACTCTTGAGCAGCAAAAACTTTGATGTCTGTCATAATGGCAGAATTTCTATAGTTTGGCTAGTCTCTTCAATTCCAGTAGAGGTATCCATGTAGAGTATGCCTTCCAGATCCTTGGGGGGAAGTGACAATCCACAATGAATGGGCCATTGGTTTGGACTCTTGTCCATGTAAAATACATTGAAGTTATTTTTATTATATCACATGAACAAAATGAGCAATTCTATGTTACAAAAAATGAATCCTGTTAAGTTCAATTTTAAGTAAAAAGGCTTTCATTGTTGAAATGATTTTGTTTCAAGAAACAGGTAGTCCTCACTTAATGACCATTCATTCAGTGACCATTCAAAGTTACAATGGTGCTGAATGAATGATAGTTACAAGAAGTCCTTGAAGTTACAGTTGCTGTCCCTATGACCCAATTTCTAACATTTGCCAGCCTTCTCACATTTAGGATTGCAGCATGTGCTTCAGTTCCTCCTGCCTGTCTCTCCACAAATCTGTCCTTTTGACTGCCTTACCACTGCTGCCTACCCTTTCCTATCCCAGATGCCGTCCCCAACTTCTTCCTCCTCTTCTTCCTCCTTCACCTGGCCAAGGCAGCTCCCTGAGGTTGTGGGGTGGAGATAGTCAGACTGCGAGTTGAAGTGGGGGCAAGCCCAACAAGAGAAAAGAAGCACGTGGCCTCACCTAACAACGTGGCTGTCCTTTGAGAGTTGTATGCAATGAAATTTCATTTTAATGTACGCCGATTAGTGTCCATTTAAAGTGACAATAAAGTTATAAAGTTAAAAGTTATTCTAATGATTGTAACCGGGACTATCACAACTGCTGTCATTTAGCATTGCAGTCATGTGATGTTCTGTCTAACAACCACTTCATTTAGTCATGAATATTCTGGTTCCAATTAGCATTGTAAAGTGAGGACGCTCTGTACTGAGTGGAAAGCAATAAAGAAAAATATTTCAACCTGTTTTCTGTTTATGCTGAATCCAATATACAGTGAATAGGAGGCTAAAGTATTACTGCCTTTGAGTTATGCTTTAAAAAGGTAGGATATATTATAATAATTACAGCAGTTAAACACCCCATTTTGGAATGATTCCTTAATCAAATTATTGAACATATGTTGATTGTATTTTTCTCTCCCTCTTTTGTAAATATAGTTTTGTAACTATAAATGAAAAATATGTTTTCAGTTCTTATTGTCTTACCCTGCCAGTTATTATTATATATTGATAGCTTATTTCTTCGGAGAAAAACTTTGTGGGAATTAGTAGAATAGCTGATATTGAATTGCTCAAGATTAAAGTTAAATTTGTGTACTTTGAGTCAAGCTTGGCTGTCAATAGAACAAGCAATTCCCTTTAAAGCGAAAAAAAGCCAATCTCTGTGTCATGTTAATTTGTGTGATGGATAACAGAAAGATATGCTCTCTTTATTTTTCTGTAGACTTTCAGAATACAGAAGCTATTTGGTGTTACTTCCACAACAAATTTGCTACTTTAGAAATTTTGACAAGCACTTTATACTGTGAACAATTTCCAAATCAAGGTTACGAAAATTGATAGGGATATCTGTTTTATTTCCAAAAATTCTCTTATAAAAAAACAAGTAATTGCATAGGCTAGAGCAAAAGGGTTGTATACTCCTACAGTGATACACTGTTACTTTACAATTAAGTCCACTCTGATGGATGGAAAATATGATAATGAAAATAGAGGGGGCATTATTTGTTTATTCTGCTATTTATAAACAAGACTATGTTCTGTATCCCTTAATTTTAAGGTAACAGAGTTACACAACATCAAAAACATAACCAGACTGCCTCGAGAAACCAAGAAGCATGCAGTAGCAATTATCTTTCATGATAAGACATCAAAAACATTTGCCTGTGAGTCAGGTAAGCAGTTATTACCATATCTTTAACTTAAGTAAATTTTGCTACTTATGAAACAGTACTTCATCTGCATTAAGTTACATCATTCATCTTAATAGGAATGTGCCATAACTGTTTGTTTGTTGCAGGATGGTGTGGTATATCTCCCCCTTTCAGTATTTTAAAGAACCTTCTGTTCTTATTTATTGCTTATCATTTTTGTTATTTGTCCCCCAGGTGGACGAAAGGTCCCTTTCAAGTTTCTAGTGCAACTTTTAGAGCTAAATAAACATTGTCTCAGGGAAGCTATAAGAGAAGCAGTGATGTAGCAATAGCAGTTAGCAATAGCAGTTAGACTTATATACCGCCTCATAGGGCTTTCAGCCCTCTCTAAGCGGTTTACAGAGTCAGCATATTGCCCCCACAGTCTGGGTCCTCATTTCACCCACCTCGGAAGGATGGAAGGCTGAGTCAACCTTGAGCCGGTGAGATTTGAACCGCTGAACTGCAGATAACAGCCAGCTAAAGTGGCCTGCAGTACTGCACCCTAACCACTGCGCCACCATGGCTCTCTTACATTTTTGTTGGTTGCTAAGCTTGTTACAGACACATGCTAGAATACTAAAAATCCCATGTGTGTAAGAGGAGTACAAAGATCTGTTCCAATTCCAGGTTAAATTCACCTTCAGTTTCATTTTATTGGTGGCTACTTTAGTTTTCCAATATTACAAAAAAACCCATATGATTCATGAGGAAAAAAACCTTTCTCATTGGAGAAAATTTTCTATTTTTAAAATTACAGTATTCATTGGAAATAAATTATATCATAATAGACTCTTGCATTCTCTCTCCCTCCCTCCCTCCCTCTCCCACTCCCTCCTCTCTATCTTCCCAGTGAATGGATATGGGTAGTAGACCTATGGGTAGTAGTAATAGCTCTCTCCTCTCTTGGTCCTTAAACATAACTCATTTTGTTCTCCCATAGAATTTAAAACATGTTTCCCAGCATGATGTCTGGACTATCAATTCCCTTCTCCTTCATTAATTCTAAAACTAAGCTGGTGGCTGTCACCATATTTTGAGGACACAAATAGCATTGTTTTATTATGGACTATGCTAAATTGTACTGGCTTTTTAAGGATCTAAATCTGTTATCGTTTATCCTCATTTAAAGTGCTTATGTTGTAGAACTCTGTTTCTCACATTTCTATGCTGCCAGTAAGCAGTGTACAACAAAGAAGAAAGGTTAACAATTGTGGAACATTGAAAAGCAAAATATATAGTGCAGTGGCACTAGTCAAAAGGATAGATACCTTATCAAAATCTAATATCCACCTAATGTTGTGCCTCAGAACTTAGGTTTTCATTTATTTGAAAATCCATTAGAGTAAAGCAGTATTTCTCGACCTCTGCAGTTTTAAGATGTATGGACCAGAATTCAACCCAGTGACATGTGTGTCAAAGGCAATGTTGGGAATAAAGCTTTTAGCTCCCACCTCATATACTGATTACTCATACACTCAAGAGCCGAGGTGGCGCAGTGGTTAGGGTGCAGTACTGCAGGCCACTTCAGCTGACTGTTATCTGCAGTTCAGCAGTTCTAATCTCACCGGCTCAAGGTTGACTCAGCCTTCCATCCTTCCGAGGTGGGTGAAATGAGGACCCAGACTGTGGGGGCGATATGCTGACTCTGTAAACCTCTTAGAGAGGGCTGAAAGCCCTATGAAGCGGTATATAAGTCTAACTGCTATTGCTATTGCTATATAAGGTTTCTTTAGATTTATTTTATTTTGAAATACCGTGAACAAAATTACACTGAATTATCTAGCCAGTGATGCATTATAGAATGCATACATACTACTGGTATGAAATACACCTATAGTATTTTGGTGTATTTTTCACAACAGCTGAATTTTTGCATCTACTCAGATATTTACTGTAACTCAAATTCCATACCTATTCATATTCATCACATCACGTATTTCGGATAGGATTCTACCCGTATGTTTGTTCTCCCAGTATTAGGAGTCTTCATAATCCCTAATTTTACTATCTTCAATAGCTAAAGGTCATTCAGAAAAGTGACTGCCTCACTGCTCCCCCTTGTGGGATCTCTCTTTTTATTTTATTTATTCAATTTTTATAGTCAGCATCTCAACAACTGACTCTGGGAGGCTAAAAAACAAAAACAAATAAACACAATTGCAACAATACAAAATTTAAAACATACAGTGAGAAATGTAGTGTCACAAAAGCATATTGTGGTTCAAGTGAAATAACTGAGAAAATTGTATGAAATTGTAGTAGAACACCAAAAAAAAGAGGATTTAGATCCTTAAATTAGAACCAATTTAAAGGCCAAAATATAGTAATGAGTATTTGAAGGCTGAATCAAGTGATTGGTTTCCTTTCTGCATTAAGGATTTTGCCAACCATCATCAATTCCATTTTTGTTATTTAGAGCCAAGCTTAATCAGCAAATTGATCTTAAACAGTTTTGATATTTCCACATGATTTCATAAAGTGGCTTCATAATTAGCCAAGAAGAAAAGGAAATAAAAAGAAATGATGCCATGCATCATAGAAAATATGTAAAGAACAAATAATCATAATATTTTCAAATTGTATAATATGCACAACTATAAATACATTATTCATAGCACTGCAATTTTAATAGTTAATAATTAGTCCTTACTATAGACCTTTTGTATTTATTTAAAGAGTATTTGGCTTTATGTTAGAAGCATCAGTCATATATCTTCATCATTAAAACAGTAAACAAAATCGTGTCATATAATGTATAAGCAAATAATAACACTAATTATTTAAAGAAATACAATAAATAAAATAAATTTGGCTGGTATTCTTTTTATTATTATTGTATTACACCCTTACTATAAATTTCTGGGTTCGAAAAATATTGTTTGTTCTGTAGAATCTATTTCGTACAGTTTTATGAATATTAATTTCAAACTCTTTAATTCATATCTTTACAAAACTGACTAGCACCTTCTGGTTTCTGTTTGGAGCATGGTATTTTCCTTTTACAAACTATACTTTTTATACATAAGTCTCATGAGCGGAATAGCATTATGAATTTCTCTTTAAACACTGGGATATCAAAATGTTAACCTAATAAATAAAAGCAAGTTTATAAAAAAATTCATTTTAAGAGATTGGTTATAATCAATAATTATTTCGCAAAGAAAAAGGGTAAGAACTGACTCCTCTAGCCAACTGTGAATATGTTATTTGGTTAAGAAGTGGTATTATAGAATATTTTTATATTTTAACCCTTTAATTGCTAGTAATGTAACAATTGAGAAACCAAAATACATTTCAAGGTTGGATGCTCAGTGAGGCAACGTAGGAGGTAGACTAAGAGGTGGAGGTAAGGGCTTTGGGACTTAACATGATAAGGATTAAAGCAAGCAACATTTCATTAACCAAATTACCTTTGGACTTATTGACGTTCTAAAAATTCCAAAGCTACATCCTTGTATTATGCCAGTAAAATATGAAAGAACAGGGTATGCAGTGCATGGAAGCATATAGGGTATAAAATGCCTCTATAGCATTGCTGTATTTTTATTGAACTATCTTTGACACAGAAGAACCATTTGTTTTCTATACTGTTAATACTGTCACAGAATCAAACAAAAATAAGTGAGTTTTGGTAGTCTCGGATCTAATAAATTTCAAATAAAAGATTGTCAGAAACAAATATAACAATGTTACATAATCTTTTCCCCTTCTTCATATAAGCTGAGAATGGTGAATTTGTTTTATTCATTATTTCATTCCATTTATATCCCTCCTTTTGTTTGTAATACAATTTTTATGCAATGCAAAAAAATTGCATATAAGGTAATCTTCCACTTACGACCATAGTTGAAACCAGCATACCTGTTGCTAAGCAAGTCAGTTATTAAAGGAGTGTTGTCCCATTTTACAACCTTCTTTGCCACAGTTGTTAAGTGAATCACTGCACTTGTTAAGTGAATTATGTGATTGATAAGCAAATCTGATTTCTACTCCCCCCCCATTGACTTTGCTTGTCAGAAGTCATTTGGAAAGGTTACAAATGATCATCACCTGAACATGGAACAGTGCAACTGTCATAAATACATCCTACTAGCCCAGCACCCAAAAATTGATCACGTGACCATGGGGATGGTACAACAGTCATAAGTGTAAAAACTGGTCATAAGTCATTTTTTCCAGTCCCGTTGTAACTTCAAACGGTCACTAAATGAATGGTTGTAACTGTTATACATGCTGATGCAGGGATGTTCAAAGAAAAATAATAAATAAATAAATAAAATTAAAATTAAAAAGATTTCTTCGATCCATGGGTTTATTTTTCAAAACAAAGGAATTATGGAGAGAGATTTGGCTTACCTGACAATGTACACTACTGTCAGGGTTCCAAGTAATATAGCAAACAGAACTCCGAAGTATCATCGGGTTGCCTGGTATCTTCACTCCTCCTCTCTCTGACCACCTGTGGGAATGTCCTTGGTTCCCAAGAGAATGTATTTTGTTTTGGCTACAAAACCCTAGCTATTTCTATTCCTCCCCTTCCTATGCCTCAGCTCCAGCTTCAGGGTTGACAACTATTTTATGATACTAACCCAGTTTGGACCATTGACTGTTTTTTTTCTAAAACATTTTTCTTGTTTCTCATGCCTTCTAAGAGTTAACTATTTTGCTTAGAAATGTAAAGTGTGTGCATGACTATTCACCAGAATAAAGATAGATAGACCAATTGGCATTTGCAGCAGGATAAATAGCATTTAAATAAAATTCCATTTGCCCCAAAAAAGTAGAAGAGTGGGTGGTGATGAGTTTCCCTACTGACAGAGACTGAAAAAGCAATTTTTGGCTAAATAGTTTGTCAAGAGAAATAAGTTGCTGTCCCTAGACACACATCTGGATGTGATGGAAAAAATCCCAAGACTCTTTAAGCTTATTAAGAAATATCTATCCTACTGATCCATGTGAGAACATATGATACAGCCAAA